AGACGCAGTGTCAAGGTCAATATCAACTTCTAACGAGTGATTCGCGAATTGCACGCTGCACACGCGCACGCGACGACACAATTGCGTTCATCGAGCTGTCATCAAGATCATAAAATCAGTAATAATCGTGCAAAGAGTGTCAAAGTGTCTAAATTTCAATTCACTTTCGTGAATTCCTGTGACATGGTGCTTGTGCGCAAAATCTAGAGATATAACAGAGTCTGCATTGAGGAACGCCACAGAGTCGACGTTGTCGGTTAGGAACGCGAAACTATGTATGTATCGCGACCGCGAGAGAATGTGCTCCGGCGGGAATGATGGAACGTTCGGCGCCGGTACGCCACATTGATCGGTCGATCGAGCTCGACAAACTTGATGAATTATATTTATCGGACGTAGACGACTTAATTATCGCTGCGCGAAAGAAAAGCTATTGCGGGGCCGCGATTAATCGCCGGCAAGCCGACCAATTTTAATTCGGCCGGCAAACAAACCGTCGCTCTCGTGATAACACGCCGAGACCTCGGACCACCGACGACGCGTCGTTAACGACGACGACGATGACGACGTTGCAAATCGACAATGATGATGCATCTCCAGACGACGCTACCGTGGTTCAATATGGCGAGTAATTCCGGAACACCTGCTGCAAACTATATATGTTTACCGGCGCGACCGAGTGACTGCCGAGTATAAAAAAATTAATAAAGGCAAGTCGCGTTAATCTATTGACAGTCGTCATATGAGTGACATAAAAACTGGTGAAATATTATTGGAATAAAAGTGAATTGAAAAGTTGTGATCGTTTTTTGCAACGTGATGGCCGACAACGACAGACGAATATACTTTGTTCTGACCAACGAATGAGAAAACTTCTCCGAGAAGAAAGCGTGTATTTATTTATGGATAAGTGCATCTTGAAGTACAACATGTGGCAGCAGCAGCAGCCTCAACAGCAACAACAACAACAACAACAACAAGCGTACTTGAGGGATTCGTCCTCGCAGTATCCACAACAACAGGCTGTCCATCCGGTGGCGATCATCAGCCCGGACAACCGCGCGCATCAGCAGCATCACCAGCATCATCATCAGCATTATCAGCACCATCAGCAGCATCGCGCCGCCGTTATGGATCTGCCAGTGCCAAGGTCAGACTAGTTGTCTTATTATGATATATAAAGGTCGCGGAATGTATCAAAGTGAACGATGATATGCGCGCACGCGAGTGCGATCGCGTCTAGCAGCGCACGGATCCGATAGCCTTTACGGTCATAATGACTCGTGTATCGCAAACTTTGTTAATCCTTATCAAAAGTAGTGTCGTGGGATTCTCCTGTATCTCAACTAATCGTGACATATGTGGTTTTCTACAACATATTTGGTTTAAAAGTATACGCTGACATGCGGTGCAAGGCTCGATCGTAATTTAATTTTCCCCTCAAGCGAATGCGTAATAACAAATGATATAATTTTATTGACGTTCTACCTTTAATCTCATTATGCGTATATATAGCAAATGATAGTGGGATGTATACCGGCCCCACGGCGCCAATTATACTCTATGAATTGCATCTAGATACGGAATATTTCAGAATCTCGGATAGTTAGTTTAATGACGTGTTCTTTGATCAATTTGGAATTAGTCTTTCCTTAAGAAGGTTTTGAAACAGTTCGTTATCTATTGCAACTTTTTAACATTCGACACGAGACACCTTGGTAATTAAAAAGAGAATTGTGATTTTTAGAGCAGCTTGAAAGATTTACTTCTATTCGTAAAAATTGGAAAAGTTTTTAACAAATAAGCGGTTTAAGTTTTTAGCGAATAACAATTTATTTGTAATATTAATCTTCTTTAATAGAAAAAGATTTGGACTGTTTGTTGCTTTTCTCGTTATAAAACAACACGTGATAATAATTAACAAAAGTGCTCGATTTAAATCTTTATATAAAAAGGAAATTAATGGCGTTTGTGATTTTTTATACGGTAATAATATGGTGAAAAGAGCATTATTTTGTTTATTTACATAAGTATACATAACCGATCGATTGTCGCTGTGCAAATATTCATAAATTTATTTATGAGTACACCTATCGATAAATTATTTTGATGATAATATTCTCTTATCGTAAGTGATGATACGGACATAATCAAATACGAAATTGTATTTCGCTCTTTTGTGCTACTATTTACGCTCTGCCTCTCGACTTTCACAATTGTCCGAAATTCTTCGTGGCACTCCAAAACCGGTTGCATCTTCATTCAAACATTGCCAATGATCAACTATTTATGATGCGGTTAAAAAACTGACGCAAAGAACCAGCATGAATAGTTTAGGAAAGAAAAATCGAAGAAAAAGGAAAAAAAAGAAAGGAAGAATACGTAATTCCTTCTCATTGCTCTTTTATTTTTATACTTTTATACGCGATTACCTCTTTTCTATTCATTACGAAGAAAAATAGCAGAGCAGAGCAGAATTGAGATTGTTTCTTAAAATATTAATCTATATTAGTAAGATTGCCATTACCATTACTATTTGTTTATTACTCAAGCAATATTATTTCGTCAATTATATTATACTTAATAATAGCATCAAAATTTAAACCTAATATTTTTTCCTACAAAACGCATGCTTATCATATTTATAACTGCTCGATATCATTGATGAATTCAAAATGACTTCTATTAGAAAACGTAGCATCTTATTAACATTATATTACATGCGTAGATATTGTTTATATAATTGAAGTATGAGATTTCAATTGTACGGAATCTACGCGTGTAGATCTTACAATAGAAGTACCGCGTAACAGTTCTCATTAAAGTTGCTACAATTGTAGACAAGTGTATAAAAGAGAAGATTGTTACATAGAAGTTACTGCACAATATAGGAGAATTAGCCCATTACAATTGAAAATGGATTTCCATTCGTAGAACTAAAAAAAAAGTATATTGTATTATACACGTGGCAGTCTATATTCTTTAAAAAAAAAAAAAATTAAAATATGTCCTCTTATTAATAGCAATTTTACTCCCGCAAATATATGGTAATATTATCGCACGTGGCTACCTTCGGAAGCGATAATTTCATGCACAAATAGTGCTGAAAGTATGAGAACTCACGTGTCACACGTGATGATAATGCTGACTATTGTAGAAACCGGCGATTATCTACAAAGCGAAACTACGTGGTTAATGTACGAAGGTAAGGATTTTACTGTTTTTGAGACTATCTAATGCGTTTGCAGTTAAATCCTTTCGTCCCACTCTCCAGGTGCGACTTAGATTTATTGCACGATTATAAGAAAGAATATTTTTTAAATTCCTATTTGAAAATGCGATTATTGCTATTTAAAATAATTTGAAAATTCGATTAGCTACGCAAAAATGAGACGATGGATCAGAGCTATTTATGTAGTAGACAGTACGTTGATCTAAAAGCACTTTTATCAGGCTTGTTTTTCCAGTCTTCGAGTCTTTGCGATTAAATCCTTCTGTTCAGTCTTTATTGTGCTAAAAAACACTAAACACATTCATATAAGTATACATACATTTATTATGCATTTCTAAAAGTATGGTTCTAAAATTTTTTCTGAAAAATATGGCTATTGCTATAGTAGCTTATCTCTAAAAGTTTGAAAGATTTGGAAAAAACATAAGTATGCAATTACAAAGTTGCATAAAAACATTAGGATTTATGCAATCATAAATTTTTTCGACATAATTTTGTTTTGTAATTTTTAGTTCACTGTATACTATATACACGTAATTACAGTTACTTGCAAATTCGTAAAATTTATGCGCATTTCAAAAGAATAATTTAAAGAGAGAATTTTCAATAAGGAGCGACAAACAATCATTTTCATTATATAGATTTTTAATTTTACAAGGAGCGCTAAATCTAATTTTATTAATTGGATCAAAGCTCGATTGATTCAGATGATCGGGCTATTAGATATATATTTTGCGGTTCAATACAACTGCAATTCAACTGCATTAAAAGTACACCGGATATGTTAAGAAAATATTTATAAAATTTATTTAAAAATTTATAGATTTATAAAAACTGCGAATAATCGAAAATTTTAAAACTAAAAAAACATTTCACGTTTGCATTTTTTAAATTTTGATCGATTCAGGTTTGTAAATTAAATCAGAAAGTTGATATTAGGATCTTACATGGAAGCGAGGTTTATTTAATATATGGCGTAGAATAAATTACAAATTTTGATGAGAAATACATTGTAGTTATATACAGGGCTGGGCAAACACATTTGAAATACAAAATACAAAATACTAACAATTTTAGTATTTATTGCAAAATATCTTCAATTTTTTATTTAAAATACAAAATTTTTGTATTTTAAATCGAAAATTAAAAATTAAAAGTATTTTGTATTTTATAATTTAAATACCAAGATTGTGTTAGCATTGTACATTTTGTATTTCAAATATTTTATTGTATTTGAAATACAATTTGAAATACATTTTTCCCAGCTCTGGTTATATAGTACAATAAAGTGCAATAAACAAGAAAATGTTAAAAATAGATTAAATATTAAATAATTAATATCAATTTTTTCGAGATTTCTGAAACAATTTTCTATATAAACGCAGCGTGCGTTTGCTGTTGGAAATAAATAAACAGTTAAAATGTAAATCTTTTTGAAATTTATTTTTATAACTATGAACTGAGCAAGTAGCTCTTCTTTTTAATTGTGAAATAACTAAAAATAATTATTTTCCATTATACTATTTTTTATAATTAAAAGAGAAAATTAGCATACGTATACTTTACGGTTTCTTCAAAAATGTGTAACCTAATTATAATTTTAAATTTATCGTCATATTGTTTTACATCAGATCCCAATAATATCATTGCAATACCAAACAGTCGATGAACTTCTAAATCCAGTCTCACAGTCGTAATTCATGAGCACGTGCGTGCTTCAACGTACGAAGTCTCCTCATGGAAGTCTAACGAGTGTGTGATCATGCTCATCCGTCCGCTTTCTCGATCGAGCTCCGCGTCGAACGAGACGATTCATCGCATAAAGACAGACACACGACATGATTTTTTTGCGAACTCGCAGCTTGATTTGCATGGTGAATTAATTCAACTCGACGACCTTTATAAGGAACGACATAATAACGTTAATGATAGTCTGACTCGTTTACATGCTCTCGAGAGAAACTGCGCAATGAGAAGGATCGAAAGAACAAAGGATATATAGCTGTATTTTATTTGATAACGCGTATAAAAGACATATCTATATCGGCATTGGTTCGCGTTGCATGCACTGAAAAAGAAAGGAGCTAATTAGCTATTTTAGTTTATTAGCATATATATATATAGAAGACATTAATAAATAATTGGGAAATGATATATAATTTAGTGATTAACTGTCGAAAATATCTGTTACAGAAAACTTAACTAACTCATAAAATAGATGCTGCAACATAATTGATATCTACATATTTTTATATATATTGTCAGAAATGACTTACGCTTTTAGCTGATTAGTAATTAATTAGCGTAAAAACACATTATGACATTAAATTTTATTTTTGAACTATTAATGTAACTACAACTTTTTTCAGTTAATTAATTATTTACTAATGCTTTTTTACAGTAATTTACCTTATTGCTTATCAAGATTATTGAATTAATATTATTTTATTCTAAAAATTTATGACTATATCTATTATATCTATAACACAGGTCAACAAAAAAACTCAAAACTGCAAGATATCTGCTTTTGTAGTTTTTTTAATACTGAATATAATGGTACGATTTTAAAAATGCTCCATCACGTGACAATTTTAAGAAATTCAAGGTCAAAGTTGTAAAAAAGAGCTATTTTGGCGTACTTTATTATGTTACAACTACGGTATGCAATGTTAAAAAAGGTTCTTTTGTTTTCAAATAAAGTATATTACTAGGACTTTTAACTATCAAAAGAAATTTTTTATATACATTACGGTTCACAAGATTTTGACGATTGAATATTGTGTTTATTACAGATAGATTATAAATGGAACTAAGAACTGCAAATAATTCACTGAATATTTTCAATTTTTGTGAAACAGACATAATGATTTTTAACATCAGATTTGTGTTTAGCCACCTTGACAATTTTTAAACCTTGA